TCCCTTGTTTACATCACTTTGTTAGCTGCTACTGGCTCAAACATATGCCATCTATTGCTTTTGGTGTGAATGAAGCGTATCTTTTGATCTTTCGATCTCTCAGATAATGCTTTGTGGAAATTTTTTGTTCTTGTTTTTCATTGCCTCCCCTAGTGCTGGGTAGGTGGTAGTGAAGGCAAAACTGGTAGTTTTGTTGTCCTTCTGCTGGATGAAGCTTCACCTTATGATTTACTTGAAGAGAGAGGTGGTAGAAATCCTTTTCACAATTCTCTGTCCCACTGCACACTGATGGTATTATATTGCCGTCCACTTCTACTTTTCCTTTTTCACTTCTTCAGTTCTTTAAAAAAAATTATACTAAATCACGACTCTAATAAATCTCCTGCATGTATATCCCAAACCAGTGATCCTTTATTAATTTAATTGTTACTTAACTGCTTAGAATAAATGCTTTGCAATCCCCGGCTGTAAAACATCTGAAATAGGTGTGCCAGAAGATCCCTATGTTTGCATATGTGTCCATTGCTGCTTTTTTGGCTACAGGGTGTGCAGAGGACCATCCAGGTGCATTTTTATTTCGGGATCAGAGATTCTAGGCGCATCTGCACTAGATATTATTGCACTTTATGTAAATATATGCAGACTGTCTTCAAAGTAGTTTGTTAAGGAACTGTTAGTCAAGTGGAAGCAGTAGCCAGGAGCTCAGCACGTACAAGTGCATGAGCGTGTCACCAGCTGCTCAGAGGTACTTCTGCTGCCTTTGAACTCTGCTGTACTGTGGCCATATGACCAAGAGCCTCCAGGCAACTTGAGTGTGTCTGCAGCTGCAGTTACAGTTTGTGCTCTTGAACTTACTCATGAAAACAACTTGATCCTTTGTTTGCTACACGGAGTACTATAAACGCATATGGTGTCATATAAGTACATAATACTCAACGTACTGCTGTAATGACATTTTGTTTCCCCCATCATTTTCGGCATCAATTGTCAGCTTGTTCTATGGATGTGTTGTCAGTCAGCCTGAAAAACACCAACTGCTTAGGAATGTTAATGTTTTCATTTGCAAAATCATGTACTGATTCGATGAGCGTCTGTTTTTATGGTCAGCCCTGGATACCTGTGGTTCTGCTCAGAGAGTCTAAGTAGGTTACTGTACAAGTAGCTTTCTAGCACCAGCCCGATAGATGCTCTGGGCACAGGAATGAAGTTGAATTTAATTAGTTGAATGTGGTCCTGGGTGTTGTCTTTTTAGCTGGAGATGAATGCTCGTATTAGGAGGAGCTATTGGCTCAACACCTGTTTGAGGTCCAGACTGCTCTTTGAAGAAATTAAATCATTAACAAAACCTTTGGAAACTCCTGCCTTTTCTAAACTAGCATTGTTCTGAATAAATTAATTTTCCCCTGTACCAGCTAATGATGGAGGCTGATAGATCATAGAATAAAAACTATATCTTTATTGACCCTTCATACACTGAAGTATTACCTTAAAATTTACAGAAGCACTGTACCGTATTGTTGAACAGAAAGGCCTTTCTGCCTTCAGCTGCTGCTAAAACTGTAGTAGAGGCTTTTTTCTATGGCTGCTTTTCATGGTGATTATCCTGTTGCTTTCGACCAGCGAAGAAAGTTCCCAAAGAACAGGGTTTTTACTTCAGAATCAGCCAGATGGTGTAAAACAGGAGGCATCTTTATGTGCAGCTGGAGAGATTAGCTCCATTGAGTTTTGGATATTGAATAAGTGAAACAGCTGCTGCACCTGGTTTCTTTGTAAGATGTTTAGCTGGTGTACTTCATTACAGCCCCAGTGAGTTCAGCGTGGTTGCATTTACTTGCATTGGACAGAGATTTGACCCTCCATGTGCACAAACTAAGTACGGTTGAGCATCCTATGTTATATCATCGAAGAAATGAGAATGTTTCCATCAAAGCCTAGCAAACCAAAGGAATTTATCAAAGAGGGAGTAATGAGTATAGAGTATTTTTCTGCCAGCTCAATCTCTTTCCTCTTTGGTTTATCTGTGACGCTCGGGCAAGCAAGACGTTAAATGGTAAAGGCAAGTATTTGTTAGACTGCCAGGAATGGGTTGTTGCTTTTTTTGAGAATTTTTTTGCTGAAGTAGTTTCTTCAACTTGAAAATCACTTTTGACTGATATTTTTCCCTGTTAGTCTTACAAAGGGCACCCCTCCAACATGAATCAATAGAAAGGAGCCCAATGTCAGTAAAAGCTCTGTTTTTCTCCTTTGTTTGACACACAGGAGTTGGAAAAGATTTTAAACCCAGGGAAAAGTAGCAGTTAAGCCACAAAATTGTCTGTCTGGCTCGGAGCTGTATTGTACATGAAATTACTTTAGCAATTTTCAAACTGATTACACTGAAGTTGGTAGTGCCCTTCTCAGCTTGAGTTATTGATATGAGACCCATCTTACTGTAACAGCTGCTATTTCAGTATACAAAATGGAAACAGTTGATGCAGGGAAGAGCCGATACTTCATGCCATTCAGAGTTTTCCAGCACCCAATATGCTGATGACTGCATAAACCAAAATTCAAAGCCATTAAACAGGCCATCCCTTCAACAGTACAGGTGGCAGCGACAAAAGCACAAATTCAGGAAAGTACAGCCTGAGCTAATTAATAACTGTTTTCTAAAATGCGTTAACAAAAGGCTCCCACAGCCTCTCCCTGTTGTCTTACTAATGAGACAGGACTGGATTAATGCAGTTAAGAAAATCTCTTCAGTCTCCAGAGTAGTCTTCCGATTGCATATCTGGGACAGTTTCTCTAATCAGCTTTTGGTTATTGAAAGTTATTGCTATCACCTTAAAAGTGAATTATTTTTAGCTGAGTGTAAAAGGAAGTCTGTTGTGGAGCTTGTTTTGTAAATCCTGATCCTCTGTAGCAGTTCTTTTAAAAGCCTCAGGCAATATGAAAATTTTTAATTGATGTCAGAAATCATCCCAAAATATTCTTCCTTGCTTTCTTTGATTTTTTTATTTTGATTCATAGAGCGTTTAAACTTTTAAACCTTTGCTTTATTATCCTCTTGTGGTCAGAATATCACTCGGGCTAGCATGCTAGTTTCAGCTTCAAAGGGGTCTTAGAGTCTCAGCTTTGATTCAGTCTTGACTATTTTGCACTTAGCTTCTGGCTCACAGCAGAGGCTTTACAGCCGCTGGTTTAATATCAGCATACTATTGTAATTGAGGTTTACATGGGAAATTGGGATCTTAGTCTCCCATAAAAGCATTTTGCTGGCTGTAGTTACAGCTAGAAATATCTTGGGGCTGAATGATTTACTCTAAGGTCTTCCTTTTGAGCACCTGGTCCGTTAAGGCTGTTCCGTCTTTGCAAGCAGCGATTTTTTTGGTCCTGTGACGGGATGTGCAGAATGTCAATTGGGAGAAAGCTCTGGCTGACCATTTACCACTAGAGGGCATTGACTATTCTCATTAATTTTATTCTCTTTCTGGAAACGTTGCAGGAGTAAAGTATTCCCTCTGTACAGACTTTCTGTATCACTGTGAAGACTCCTACCTTCTGCCCCAAAAAGCTGGAGTCAGATTGGCAGGCTATGTTATGCATGCATCCTAGCAGATATTCTGCAAAGCCAAGCTAGCTCTATTTGTTGTGCTGCTTGCTATTTAGAGCTGAAGAATAATTTAAACGTGTCAACACTAACACTTAACCCACTTGTTCTTCTTGTTTCATGTCTCATAGGTTTGGGTTGGGTGTTCCTGTTATTCTGAGAAACTCAGAAGAAACAGAATCCAGCACAAGAGTTTTGAAAAAGCGGATGAGACAAGTGAAGAATCCTTTCGGGTTAGAAATCCCTCATCCTGCTACAGCTTCAGTAACAAGTCAGTGGATTTCTGATGTGTTTGATTTTTGTCAGTTTGGCTTCCTGAACTTAGTACTATGTTTTGTTGCTCTCACCCTTTTCCTTTATCAAAATTCCTCAGAAACATGCTTCCTCCCATCATTACAACAGAAATAATTTTTACACAGCTTATAAATGTGGTGCTTTTAAAAGTGAAATGTTTGCATATTTAAGTACAGTTTAGTTCTTATTAATGAAACACTTCCTGCTATAACAGATTTTTGGGTAACAAAAACATTTGCAGATTACTAGCTACTGTGGGTGTTTTTGTAAACTTTACAGAATTGTAGAATTCTATAGAATTCATTATAGAATATATGCCGCCCACTTAAATCTAAATCCAGATTGCCAGTGGTGGTTAGAAGTGCACTACTTTGAATAAATAAATAATAAAAAAATCTCCCTCTGTTTCTATCTGTGCTTCAGTGGAAACTGAATTTAAATATCTACTTGGATCAGAGTTTAAGTAGTTCCTAACATCCTTGAAATCACCCACATAGGAAGTGAAATTCATGCCCTCCTGCATCACTGGGGAGTAGTACGCAAGGCTGAGCATCTTCCACCAACACAGATGTGGCGCCTTCCTATGAATGAGAAAAGGACTGTAGCAGTTTTACCCCTCCCCCAACACACACACACACACACACACACATAAAATAAAAAAAACCCAACCAACAAACAAACCCCAGCCAAACCCAAACCCAACAACTTAGTCTTCAGGTAACTTGGATTTTTCAGGAGGTTTGAGCGCTTGAATTTGATGGGACTTTTCAAGAGTTCTGCTCCTATTTGTGCAGTAAGTATTTAGAAGTTAAAGGGTTGGGTACTTGATTTTTAGGATGTATGCACTCCTTTTCTTTTCTCTTTTTATCCTCCTTCTGCGTGATCAAGAGCGCCTTATTCTTTTAGACCAGAGAGGTTGTTGTAGGCCAGTGATCCAATTAATACCATTATCTAAAGAGGTAATGGACTTTGGGCTAGGGTTTGTGCTCTTGGGTCTGTGAGTGAGTGTGTAAAATGTTACCAGAAGTTAAAATTTACCCTTCATAAAATGCACATGCTACTTTTGTTAGCTTAATCAGCCATTTTATCTCCTTGCACCCACTTCCTCGTCTCCATGGGCTTTCATAAGCACTAAACCTAGTCCAAATTCTTAGAAGATTACGTTATAATGATAAAAATCTGGGACACTGAAGTTGTTTTCTGCTTGTTGCCATTTAAGAACCTACACTTAGGAGTTCCAGAATTCCTGCACATTGATGAGTTAATGAAATCCTTATCTTCTTTCTACAAGAGGGTATAACACTGACACCTGATTGTCTGGAAGACTGTATTCTCACATGCTACTGGGGCTGCAGTGTTCAAAAACTCCATGAAGCGTTGCAGAAACATGTCTACTGCTTCAGAATAAAGACTCCTCAGGCATTAGAGGATGCTCTGTACAGCGAATACCTCTATCGACAACAGTACTTGTATCCTTTTTTAAATTGTTTTGACAAAATGTGCTAATTTGTTGGCACAGGGAGCGTTGAGACTTCTGAACACTCGGCAGTTCTTGGCACAATATATTTATGAACAAATATGAAGAAAAATATTCTTTATGCAAACGTCACATTTGTCTACAATTGCAGCGACACTGATTGTTTTCCTTGACACATATAAAGCATTAAAAAAAATGACAAGGAAGAAAAATATTGTCAGTTACCAGAAGATGCTCAAGTTGTCGATTTTGGCCCAGTGCCTAGATCTCGATATCCGTTGATAGCATTGTTGACATTAGCTGATGAAGAAGACAGAGAAATATATGATATTGTAAGTACTATAAGAATATATTTTAGGGTCACTGTATTTAAGGTCTGAATGTTTCAGGAGACAGGCTTGAAAAAAACAGCTTCCTTTCCATGTCTCCTAGAATTCGGTCCTTAACTTTGTCACCGATGACTCCAGGGGAGCATGGCAGAAGAGCAAGGATAATTGTTTTATAAAAATTATGTATACCATTCAAAAGATGTTTATGATTTTCACAAAGCTCATATCTGCAAAGGTCTCTGTGGTAAACCCTGTGGTCAGATGAACTAGGGTTGTGGTAGGTTAGTAAGCCGTTAGTCTGATTTTTCTGATCACGTAAACCTGTGGTGGAGCTCTTGCACTGGTACCCTCTTTTGGATTGCTGTTGGCAAGGTAGGAGGATTTTTTTTTTTTTTAGTGTCTGGCACAAATGTTTGAGCTGATTGCTGACTTGACTGTTAGGAATGTAGAAACTACCTTTCTGCAACAGGCCCAAGTTTATGTAATGCAGTACACTGTCTCACAGTGGCCAGCTCCAGGTCATTTACAGGAAGGTGTGAAGGTCTTGCAGTAGACTGGTGAGATACTCAGCTCCTCAGAAAGGTCTCCTCCTACTCCCTTACGGTTAAAGCAACTTCAGCCTTGTCACATGCAGTTCAATCTCCCTTCTAAACTCTGAATTGACTGATTCTTTGGGGAACAGTTTGGGTCACACTTTTATCTTCCATATTTTCATTTGATTGATATTCTGATAACACCAATTGCTTGAACAATAATACAAATGAGCTCAGAAGCCAACTGCCTAAATCCACTGAGTGCTTTTCCATACATTCATTTGGAAATTGTTTGTGGTCACACCAGTGCCTAAGAAATCTGTTCCTTTTTCAAGTGATGCCTGGGCTTGGCTTCTTGTCACTTGACCTTAGGACTGCCTTCCTGCCTCCTGTCCCCGCTCGAGCTATTTACGAGCTTAGTACATCCCTGCATGTTTAGAGCTCAGATTAGTTTAGTATGACGAGACTGTAAATTTCATATTTGAATGTGTTTGACATTAGCATGGATGTGAATTTGTAACACCGCTCTACTGTTCCTTAACATAGAAGAAAAGGATGGAAGGAGAGTGCAGGAGGTATTTTTCCCCTGGTTTTGGAGAAGAGCAACACAACTAGAATCTCTTAATAATATGGTCAAAGAGTAATTCCACCTGAACTCCTTGCCAGACAAATTGCATCTGTTGTTGCTGAAACAAACTTGTGAAATATAAATACAGTGTGGAAAGGGGTCTTTGCCACTGTGGCCAATATGGTATTTCCACAAGGGATGATACGGTTTGTCACATCAGTGCATCAAGCTCCATCTTGATTTATTTGTGTGTGTCCCCCCGTCCATCTCTGTGGAAGGTGTTCCAGTATCTCTTTTCTGGGGGGTCTAATTTTCATCCGAACTGTATTTATGGCCTGTTTGGTTTTGTGCTGTAATTTTCCTCCAGCTCCAGAATATTAGCATGACCACATATAAGAGTTACAGAAATTATCTGAAGACCGGCAGGGCTAAAGTGGAAGAAGACTTAGATGTTAGGCCGGTGTATAAAACAGAAGATTGACAGTAACTTGATTATGGTGTACAAGTATTTACAAAGAGAGAAAATACCTGGTGCTCAAAGGGAAGGGATTCTGTAATCAAACAGCATAGCATTTCTGCTAGATCATAGCAGAATATATTTCTGTATGTATTCCTATACTACAGGACAGCATAACAGAGGAGGCAGTAGCTTGAAGATGGAGATGCTTGCCTTAGGAACTGGTCCCACTCACAGTTAAAAAGTTGCGTAGGTGTCTGAACAAACTATGAATTGAAGACGTGCATCGTCATTGAGAAAGAGCTTATGTTATGGTGGGACTACATAATACAAATACACTGAGAACTGTTAACTTTTCAACTCTTATTATCAAAGCACAAGATCTGTCATTTTAATGGAGATTTAATGGCTTCCAGATTCCAAAATAAAGCTAATAGTGGTGTGGGTTTGGTTTTTTTTTTTTTAGGCATTGTGATTTAGAAAAAAAGACCTTATTGCCAAAGAATAGTAAATTCAGTTAGTATAAATGCATAGGTATAGGTACGTATATATTTAAACCCTGCATGTAATTAGCCATGTAGTGGATTTTGAAGTAATTTGCCTTTAAAAATTTTTTTAAACAAAACAGCTTTCTGCGATATTTCATTTCTCTTTTGACAGCTTCTGGGAACTACAATAATACTGAACTTCACTTTCTTTTTTTCCTGCTTTTTAGAGGCCATTACGTAATTTGGGCAGGGTGAGGAGTATTAGGCACAGCATGCAAGCTTAGAGTGCTTTTATTTTCAGAAAAGTGACTCTAAAGTCAGCCCATGGGGTCCTTTCATAATCCTTTCCAGTGAAATTTGTCTTTTGCCTACTCGGTCTACAAGCCAATCAGCGACACTTCTAAATGGTTTTTTTTGAGTCTAAAAACCTCCGGTTCCTGTGTTTGTTTTGGGAAATGGAAGTAGAGAAGACTTTGCCTTTTAGATGTTCCCCTGTAATTCTGCGTTCAGACTTCATCTGGCAGCGTCATTTCTTGTGTTGAAGACAGCCCAGGATGCGGCTGCAGGTGTCGTACGGGACTTAAGGGCATGCACCCGCCTGGGGTTCAGCTGCTGTGGGAAACTCCTTGCAGTTTGTCAACTTCTCTCCCATCTGGGAGGAGCTCATCATGAGTCAGAAGAGTGAACAGAGGAGTGTAGGAGCTGTTACTTCTGGATGAAATGATGCAGGTAGCCTCTCCGAAGTACATCTGTGACACTGTAAGCAAGCCCTACCTCAGCACTTGCCTTCAGGAGGACTGCATGTGCTTAGGTGCCGTTTCGATTTGCGACCTAATTCCGTTAGGTGAGAGCAGTCGGAGCGGGTCTCCACAGTAAACTGGCCATAGAAGGGCTCCATGGAGAACCAGGGCAGAAAGCTGAAGTCCTAGCTGCTGCCACGTCCTCTTTTTACCTTGTCCAGCATATTTTTTTTGATCTGTGCTTGAAGTCAACATTGTTGAAGTCCTGATTGTCTAAGGAAATAAGCAGGTCAGAGGTTATAACAAGGTATGCAATCTTTCAAGCAAATTGTTCTATCTGAATCATATAAGGAAAAGGAATGTTATTAAACGTAGCTTTTTTTTTTTTTGGTAGATTTCAATGGTGGCTGTAATTCACATTCCTGATGAGAGCTACAGACTTTCCTGCAGAATATTATATCAGTATCTACTTCTAGCTCAAGGTCAATACCATGATCTGAAGGTAAGCCACATACTGAGTCTTGTTTCATTTGAGCAACAGTGTTAAGTTTAGTTTGTGTAGGCTTTCAGGAGCCAAAATTAGTATAAGGCTTTTATTGTCATGCAAATAACTGGATAAAAGTTAAAATTATTTTATCAGTTAAGAAGTTCCAGCCAAAGTTACTGTACAGAAATATTTTATATGAAACTATTCAAGATTTCCTGGAGAAATTACTTGATTCTAGTCTAGGAGGGCTAGGTCGTGTCCAGTTATTAAAGCAGTAGTAGGAAATTAACTAGTTGTCAAAGGCTCCTTCTCTACAGAACATTTGTTACCTCCTTGCTAGTCTCTCAAACCAGCGCTTTCTCCTATACTGCCCTTCAATTGGGAAAGCCTCAGAAGAAACGCTTTTTTGAAATTTCTTTTTACTGCAATACGTGCACAAAGGTTGGGAGTCTGCCTCGCACATACCGTTAGAAGTTAAACCAATGTTCTTATTCCATTCCGGTTTCCCTTATCTATGTCCTGTGTCTGTCAGGCAGTTGATGACATGATTCTATAAGATGCACTTTTATATTAATGTGATAATAAAAATAATGTATGGTATTGATAAGCAGAAATTGCACCGAATTAATTCTATTGACTTGATTAGCATTCATTCTGAAATAGATTTGTCCAAAGAAATATTTGTCCTGGCCATTTTTTGGTGACGTAGTTGATCAAGGTAAACTTCCCTGTTGATCCCCTTAAGCCTTCTATTTGTGTGTGGTTACCATTGTAAAAAATACTGCTTAAACTGAACAGAAATAACTGTGCAGCTGCATTTTGTGTAGCTGTGTAGTGTGCTCTCTATGGGCATCTTTGGCTGCGTGGTAGTTTACTGGCTTTATTCAGAGAGCATGCCCAGAAGGATTTGCGCTTCACATAAGACAAAAAGGAGTAGAGGATTGTAATATGAGCAAGAGCGGAATGGGTTGAGTGAAGCAGATTTGACAGTTTGGTGGATACATTTTTTGGTAGGAATGGATAGAAGCATCCCTCTAGGCAGAGAGAATGATATACCAGAAACAGAAACGTGAGCTGTTCAAAACCTGGGCGATTCTGTTAAAATTCATGTGTGTGCATTGATTTGATTCAGCTAGGATTTGATGACTTATCCTTAATATTTTCCAAGTGTTTTATGTAATGCTGTGCTTCTGAAATACCTGTTAACTGAAGGCGAGGCAACTGTCAGGACTCGCGCAAAGAGTGAGTCTGGCACCATTTGACCCGGTGGAAACCAGTGAATCTGACCCAGTGGAACTTCCATCACATGCGTCTGTTCAGGTATCGGGGGAGAGTTTCTTGACTTCTAAATGTTTGTGTATATGTGTATTTTAGCAACTCTTCATGTCTGCAAATAGTACTGCACCGTCTTCAAGCGATACGTCCCCTGGTGAGAGAAACGCTGACAGAAGCTTGCTAGAAAAGGTCGGACTGGCTGAAGATGAACCAGAATTGCAGGAAGAAAACAGTAAAGACTGCGTTGTTTGCCAGAATGGCACAGTGAACTGGGTACTGCTGCCCTGCAGGCACGCCTGCTTGTGTGATGGCTGCATTAAGTATTTTCAGCAGTGTCCAATGTGTAGGCAATTTGTTCAAGAATCCTTTCCGCTTTGCAGTAAAAAGGAGCAAGATGAAGATGCATCGACGCGTATCTTGCAAGATGTTCTTCCTGGAAGAGTTTTTTAATGGAGGGGAAGAAAAAATAGAAGAACTGGGTTGTATGCACCAAGATTAAATGTAGAAAACAGACTGTTTATGGGAGGATATGTAGCATTAACTTGTATGGTTTTGCTTTTTATTGTTAGGTAATTTTCAGCTTCCTTATTTGTCTTCGCTCCATATGCTTGCAGGAACACTACATTTATCTATGCAATGTGGACAGAAGAGTTGCGTAGGATATCTTTGAAGGATGTGATTTTATTTATAACTTCGTTTTTCATGGAGTACTGTTGGAGGCTATTTTGATTACTAAATTTAGTATATCTAGTAAAAAAAGAATAAAACTTGCAAGTGAAGTTGCACATAGCTCATTCTATATTTATTGTATTTAAAATACTAGAGCGGTATATCATTTTAACTCAGTATAATTTAGAAACATAGCACTTTACAGAATGTATCAAATGAAGGAAAGTAAATATTCTTCATTGTTAAACCCGTGTGTATTTATTTTGTAGATGAAGGCTGCACTGTGGCAGGAGCTGGGAGTTGAAGGTGTGATTCAGGATACTGTTTCTGGCTGTTTTGAAAGGTTGTGTGTGTGTGTGCATGCATGTGCGCGCGTGTGTGAGTGTGCGGGACCTTAGCCAAAGCCCCTTGGAATGAGTGGAAAGATTTTTGTTGATTACTGTTGGCTTGAACTAAACGTTGCTGACACTTTCAAGCCTGAGCCTCTGCTCTGTCATCTTGAGACACAGACTTTCAGTCTTGTTAGCAATGGCTGTAAGAACTTGTTCTCCATGCAAATGTTCATTAATTACTCCATAGAGTGGTTACTTGGGCAGTTTTGTGGTGCTATTCTTATAGAAGGCTGCTTTGGGGAATTTCCAACTCTTTTTACTTGCATTGTCAGCTTGGCTGCAAAGTTAACCATTTACCTTTTAGCAATAGTCCCAGGGAATTTACTTACCCTTATAGAAGCTAAAGAATAGCAGAAAATAATTTCTTTTTCCCTCCAATGGGAAAATTGGCAAAAGCAATAAAAATGGCTGTTGAGAAGAGAAACTGTTGGTTTGCTTCTTGAGAAAGCTTAATTCTTCCAAAGACAGAGCGGCTGGGTTTCACATCTGCTCATATAAGACAAAAGTACAAATGCTCATTAGAACCTGTAGAAAATGGGGAGTAGCTGCTTTCTGTCCTCCCTCTTTTTCATTTGCAGCTTTGCCCCACATCCAATTCCAGAACAGCTGCTCAGTCTCGGGGAGACAAAGCCGTGTTCCAAGCTATTCCCCTGCACTCTCCTGCAGCTCCTGTAGCGGTGCTGCCGGTACAAGGTACGCGCAAGGTGCTGCACACCTCCAAACCAGGGAAGGAAACTTCCCCTGCTCAGGGGTATGCCACCTTCATCTTTCCATCATTCTTTTTTTGTTGTTGTTTTGTTTGGTTTCATTTTGTTTCGCCATGACCTTGCTTCCAAACTTCTGGTCGTTACCTCTGAGGAAAAGATTTAGGTGGTGGTGGTGCTGGAAAGAGTAATGCTTAGTCGTAAAGACAGATAGGGGTTGGGAACTGATTCATGTAGTCACAGATTTCCAGCCAGTGATCGGTCTTTGTAAGACAATTTATTTGGTCTGCGTAAAGTGACCTTCCTTGCCAGGAATAAACTGGTGGCCAAATCAGCCTTTTGTTTGCACTGTATATCAAACGGGAATTAAATAGCTGGGTGTCTGGATTAGCGCTTGCGGAGAATTTTGGAAGACAGGTGGTTTGCTGTGGAAATCATCATGGCAAAGAGTGGAGTATGTGCTGCAGTTCAGGAGGCTGAGAACAGCAAGAGGAGAGCAGAGAAGAATGTAATAGCGGAAGGAATGAGTGCTGGTGGCAGCAAGGCCATACCTCAGCTAAGAACGCGATGCAGATGTGGAGCAGTAACAGTGTGATGCCGCTCAAGCAGACCCAGAGCTGCCTGTATTACGGGAAAGTATAAGGACACTAAATATCACGTGGTGTCTTCACCACCCAGGGTGCATCACAGAGGCGCGATGAGGACTTGTCCTCTGTGTCACTATAGGCAATCCTGACCGAACCACCTAGACACGTGTGTCTTGGTGCTCGTGAGAAGGTGAACGTGCAAGAATGAGCGTGAAAGAATAAGTGGGAGAAATCAGTCTTAAAAATAAAAATCACCTTCCCTTTCTGTGTGGTCTCGCGCTGAGCTCTGCTAGCTTGGTTGCAGCGTGCCTCATGGAGGTAATCGGTGAGTTTAGCCTCCCTCTCTGTCACTAGCCTTGTTCTGCCTTTAAAGGGGAGCAGAGAGCAAGGTGATGGTGGAAGTAATTACTCTTCAGCCTTCCTTTCATATCCACGTGTCACTTGTGAAATGGAGAGCTGGTGTAAACTGCTCTAGGCCTCTGTGGGCTCTCAGAAAAGTTAATATAAGACCCAAAGAGCCTGAGCTGTGACAATAGCTGTTTCCATACCACCAGCATGTGGGATAGTGGCTGTACGGATTGTTATTCCAGGGGAGCAGGTTAATGCTGCGCTGCTTCTAACCCGGACTTGGGCACTGCTTGATAGTGAGCAGGGTTTGCCTGTGTATGTGATCAGAGGGGTGTTGTTCACCCCTTGACCACTGTAGTCCCTGACATTAAATCAATTAATTAAAATTTCCCAATGAGACAGTGCGATCCAAGCTTGGGGGCTTGTTTCATCTCCAAGTGAAATGGTATTCAGGTAAACCCCCCCGAGAATTGCCTGGTCTGTCTCATCCTCCAACCGATCGATGCCAGTATTAAATAATAATGGCAAACAGGATGTAGCCGTGCTGCACTGCCAGGCCAGGTATTTACCATTAAGTCTGTCCCAGCTTTTCATTTGTTTTATGTTCTTTTAACAGCATTTTCCGGAGATGCCGAGTTGCTTTATCAGATCTAACAAGCTTCCTTGCTGGCCCGAATCAAAGACCTGACTGAGAGTTATAAAAAGTACAGTAGCTGGCTTATTACGTTTGCCCTTCTTCTAAGAAGCCATCTCAAAATATAGATCAGGTGAGAAGTAAAAGGAGCAGCTCTAAAGCTGCCTTGTGTGTCCCCTGGTTGTCTTAAAACGGGGATTCAAAGCTCTAAGAGAGAAATAAAACCTTCCCGTGACCCACAAAACTACAGTATGTTGACAGAGGCTGTTCTGCTCTGTCGCCCTGTTGTAATAGAGGTAAAATAACATTCCTCTTCCACTCATTATAGATGATGTTTATGGATTTGGTGACATCAGGGAACCTACACAGGCTTCTGGTAACAAGACTTGCTTCTTTTCAACAGTGTTGGGGTAATTACAAATTTGCAGTGATTTTTGCTGCAGGAGAGAGGTGGGAGGTACCTCACCGCATGGTTTGGGTCATCAACTGAGCTGAGGCTTTGAAACGAGTTGATCAAACTAAGTGATGTTACCGAGGCATGTCCCAAGGTGCCTTTCCAAATGCCAGTGGACTATGATGTGGACATCTTCCTCCTGTAGAGAAAGTTCCTCTATTAGGGTCTCCCTCCGTTCCTCCCTATCTGCCTGCTCCAAGTAGACAGATGGCAAGTAGGAGGAGGGAGACAATTCAGGTCAATTCATCTTAAAATGGTCTTCCCATTCCCATGAGGAATTCAGAATTCCTGAAAAGGTGCTTTGAAGAGTGCCTAATGCCCTGAACAACTCCTCCTTGCAGGCTAAAATGATGTTGTGTTCCACTACAGATCCTATAAAGTGTCACCACCACCACTGAGGATGACCATTGACCATCAGAGCGCTGAGGCTTTCTGCTGAGCTGCCAGTAGGCAGCGCTGCCAACCTTACACAATGCTCTTCCCCATCAGGGAATTAAGGGCAGGGTGAGTTCACCATCTCATGTGTTGGTGGGTCGGAGCAGATGAGAACCCACGTACGTGTTTTGTTCAGCCTTAAGACAAGTTCCTGAGCGAATCGGATTAAAATAATTCGTTTACTTGCTAACATCAAACTTAAAACCATAAGTGTGGTAAAAGGAGCCGGGAATGAGGGTCTGAGTTTCTCCTGCTAGTCTGTGCGTTGCTCAGTCCCCCCATGCCCCGATGAAGCTCTGCGAAGTCTGCCAGGTGAAGGAGGGCTGGGGCTGACCTGTGTAACTGGGAAGTGCCTGCAGTAACTGGCCACCAGTCACCGTTTGCTCAGTTGTCCTGATATCCAGAACAAACAAGGACTGGCCTCTGCCACTGCAGCAGACGTGCAGCCCCTGCAAAGGCTGTCCTTCGTGTCCTGTATGTTTGTAGATAATGTGATTAATGCCTGGAATAGCTGAATTTTACCTGATACAGCAAAAGTCCTCCTCTGAACTAAGCCATTAGGAAGGTGTGGTATCGTCTTGCTGGAGTATGCGGGGCAGGAAGGGCAAGGAGGAAACCAGGATTAGGGTTATATTTCTGGATAACTTTAGTATTATTATCATTTTAATGTTGCTTTGATGGCATACAGTGGCCTCGTAATGCAAATGTGTACCTGAGCCTAGTGCTCGGGCCACGACCGAGCATTAGAGAGTCCCGTGCTTTGCTGGGTCCCCCAAAACCAGCCAGACCTCACTCCCTGCCTAGCCGCAATCCCCTGTGATGTTTGCCCGGCTGGTGGCCACGGAGGGGCTCAGAAAGCCTCTGCTGAACAGTGTGGAGTCGCTCGGGTGGGTCTACGCGTTGTTTCTGTATTGCTTTTACTCCCTCGTGCCCGTGAGCGATGTGGGTAGAGCGATACGGGCCTGTAGTGCAGCGATGGTTATACCTGTAAAAAGGGGCTTCTACTGCTCCGGTTCCATAAATTTGTAGGAATGTGCAACACCTCCACAAAGGCACCTTTGTCTGGATGCTGCTGCATCTGAGGTAGGAGAGTTCCTGCTTTAATTATGCCAT